CTCAGAGGATGAAAGAGACCACCCATGGAGGGTGAGAGGGGAATTTTTATATATATATATATATATATATATATATATATATATATATATATATATAGGTGGAAAGAGGGACATTACAAGAGGAATTCTAACTACTTATGCCACAATATGCCTCTTGGTACCCAGCTTCTCCATGATACAGACATAGAAGAAGAAACACGTACAAAAGAAGCATTGGGCGTACAGATGGAAAAAGGCGTGCAATTCACGTCCTGTGAGGTTTTTTTTTTAACATAACTGAACAGGTCAAAATATGTACACACCAAGTGAAGATTAAATAAAAATAAGAAAAATAAAGAAGGGGAAAAAAGGGTGCTGTGGGGGACAATTACGCTGTGCTACTTATATATGTGTGATTGTCAACACACTAAATCGCCTCTTTATTTTTCAGTGAGAATGAAATTGCCCTGCAGATGCATCTCATGCGCTTCAGCGCACAGAACAATTTCATCTTTATGAGACAAAAACTGAGGAAATGTAGTATTTATATTCGGGTGAGGTTTTCACATCCTTTTATTTTTATTTTCTTTATTGCGAAACACTGCGTTAATGCAACCCCTGGTGCCAACATATATTCATGTCATTGTAAGACAGGAGCTGCATTTGAAAAATAAGTAATCAAGAACACTATAGTAATTGAGCCCAAGCGTTGAAATTGCTTTGCACCTTTCAGAGCAATCGATATTCACTGCTTGGACAGAACGCAACCAGACTTTCACACAGCAGGTTCTAGACAAAGAGAGCTGATAGAGGGGTGAAGGAACCAACACTGAGCCCAGAGGCAGGGTTGCTGTTTCAGCTTTAAAGCATCCACAAACCTTTGAAACTCATTCCAAAGAAATAGAAGCAGTCCCATCTTGGTTCAAGTGGCCAAGCACACAACCCTATTCAAACCAAAGACCAAAACGAATCAGGTATGGGACATTTATTTACATCTGACTGGAAACGCTCCAGAGTCGATGGGCCTGCTGCCTGAAAAAACAAACAGACAAAAAAAAAAACAGGAGCTCCCAGCTTCAAGCTGCTCAACTTCGAGACCCCAATAATTTTCACAGAAAATAAAGAATTCTGTACTTAAACTTCCCCGTATACAGTAGCTCCTGCTTACACCAGGTTTTGTTGATTGCAAAAGCTTTGACACCTTTGGCTTCCCATATTTCTACCATTCATACTATAATTATGCATTCAAAAGGTTTTCTCAATATTATCAGTCTGTGGCCTTCAGATTTGCTTTTGTTTCTGTTTTTGCATAGCAATGTTAAATATAGAGGTAAGTATGTATGCCTAACATTTTGACTGACTGCATAAAGCATGCCATGTCTTGGTTGCACCTCAGCATTAATAATGCACTGCCATTGCTTTGGTTGTCACATGACAAGTCCACCTGCAAAATAGAGCGCCTTGTGGATGTACATAAAATCAGTCCCATATTAGCAAAGCATTAACTGACGTTTTGTTTTCAGAAGTAATTTTATGCATTGTAGTACAGTTGCATCAAGCTGACGATCACTGAACCATGTGAACTATGCTGCTGGATTCTAAAAACAACCAAACTTTCATTCTTTCCAGACTACCTGAGAGTGTTTGAGATCTCAGATTTCCCACGTAAATGTGAGTTTAATGTTAAAAAGAAGGTTGGATCTTCTAGTTTTATGTGTTTTATGCAAACTAGCACCAAGTCTGTCAGGCCACCAATCCAGTTGTGTTTTCATCGCCTTCATTTTTTAATACATACTCAAGAGTTCAGCACCTTAGCTAATATTCTGAAGCTGGTTTGAAGTTTGCACTGAGATTTCTTACTCACGCCAAAGTTAGTTAGCAGCGGTGTGTGTGTATAGGTCAGCATGGTGTAGCTGGGACACAGAGTCTGCATGTATACATCAGCAGTGAGGGCAGAGGCAGCTGGGTAGGCCAGAGTCTGAGCTGCGGAGTCCTGCTGGTTGTAGTCAGATGTAGACCACGGCATCACAGCAGGCTGCAGCCCAGAGGTGGTGGTGGGGGGAGCAGGTTTCCACCCGGCACCCTGTAGCCCTCGGTCTGCTGCCCCAGGAGACTGCTCAGCAGGGGAAGCACTGGCAACATCTGAACAAAAACCACCTAGATATCAAAGATCAGTCCGAGATTGAACACTTACTTTTTTTTTTTTTTTTACATACAGTGTTCTTTGTTTTGGTTAATGTGTAATGGAGTCTCATGCAGGTGAAGCACGTACCTTGTGTAAACGATGACTGATTGCTGTAACCCACCACATCCTGGAAAAAAAGCAGACAATATCACAAAATATTTTTTTTATCTGGAATTGTCACAGCAGCAGAACAGCAACCATCCATGTCATGTTGATATGTAAACATAAAATCCAGGTGGGAGCTGCAGCTGACACGAGGTATTAATTACACTGCAGGAGTTTCTGTGCAACACACGGTTAAGTGAAAGCATGCAGAAACAGTAACAGAGAGATTTACCACATCTGTTGTTTTCATTCATTTATTCACTATTAACTATAGTTGAGTTTTCTAATCTATACATAAAACCCCAGCTAAATTCAAAACAGGCTAACAAGTACAACACAATTCTATCCTGTTTCAAAGCTGACCTTTATTATAAACTATTAGTCTTGGCTTCATCATGCAGTCCTGAAGAAAATCTTAAGAACAGGGAGAAACTAATTAGAAAATATTGCCATAACCCTTTTGCAAGGCTTCAAAATGTTAAAAAGAAAAAAACAAGAACAGAGCAAATAGAGTATGCAAATGTCTGCACAGTGTGTTCAAACTCAAACGGGCTACTTATCAGCTGGTTAAAAGATTAAACTCACTAACCTATAAAATGTCTAAATCTTGACTTTTAATCTCATATTATGGCTCCCTCCTGGAAAGGGCTGAAAAGCTGTCTGTCTTTGAATGAACCAAGATTGCCAAGTTGCATAAGCAGGGTTTCTTGCAATACACAACTGCAGCAGAGGTCGGGTGCTGCATAGTCAGGTCCAAGTGCCGAAATCGATTCTCATTAATGTATGATGAAAATCACATAATTTTGTTTCTAGCCTCTTGTCGTCTGGCTCTTCTTTTCACAGCCCCCCAATGACCTTTACTCCCCCTCTGAAAGCAAAACTATATTGTGTGATTGGTCTGAATTTCATGTGGCCTCCACTACTCAAAGGCAGAAACTACAACCAAGGCAGACTGCAATTCAAAAACAGCTGAAATTTAACTTCATTGTTCATAACTCAGTGATTGGACAAGATGAAATTTATCCTCAGTAATTGAGCCCAATGAGAGAAATTGAGCAGATTTACATAGGGCCAGGCTAGCAAAACGGTCATGTCAAGGCAAAAGTAACGTTCCCAGTCATTACACAGCAGAACACCAAAATCAAAGGAATGGATCCCTTTATAGGCAATGTATATAAAAGCAGAGGACATCAGTTCCACATCCTCAGTGATTTGTACTGTTCACATTAATACATGTGAATTTGTTTGTATTTTATGCCCACATTGGCTAACAGGGAAGGAGAAATTGGTTTGGTCTCAGGAATGATTAAAAATCTATTTATGAGGCAGACTTTTCCACAGAATTGGACATCGTAAACACAGGATAGTCTCAGCTGGTGTACCTGGAAAACTGTGTGCTTGAGCTATATACTGGGTTGCCACCTCTTGGGAACATTGCAATTTCTGGGAATATCTGCTATTTGCAAGTGATCAACTCAGTGCTAGAGAAGGCTTGCCAACTTGGGGTGTCCGACCCAACTTGGCAAACCTAAGGCAGCAAGTTGTTTGCTGCCTTAGGTGCCATTTCTCCAATACAGGTGAAATGTATTGGAGCTCGTCAGCCACCCCATAAAGACCTGCCAAAGCACTTAGGGTTAGGGTAATTCCAGTCCTCTAAAACTGCTCTGCATGTTTTAGATGTGCCTCTATTCCAGAACAGCTGATTCAGATGATTGCATGACCATCAAGTACTGCAGAAGCCTGTTAATCACCCACAGATTCAATCCAGGTGTGTAGCAGAAGGGAAACACCCAAAACATGCAGGGCAGGGGGGCCTGAGGACCAGAATTGAGAAACACTGACTTAGAGGCTGTGGTGCTGTTGCGGACATGTGGAGAAGCCAAAGTTGATCTCCAGCTCTGGTCATGACAATTCTTAGATCCACCACAACTAATGAGTGGACATTCTGCTGTCAAGAGAATAAAGCCAGGGATACAACAAGTGGGGATGACAGATTTTGACTATGAAGAAATAATCAGCAACTGTGTATTTTATTTTTACAGTTATAGCTCTCCTATAAAAATTGTCCGTTTAATCCCACTGGCAACAATTGTTGCCAGACATTTATTCTAACTTCTGGAAGCTCTGAAATAATTTTCACTTTTGGCAGCTAATTTAAGTTTTAAAATAAAGTAATAGTGTGTCTACTCTAAGCAATATGAATTTCATGTCTCTAGTATGAAGTGTAACGTGAACAGACCTCTTTACCTCCAGCCTGTAACACTGGAGGTAAATGTCAGTCACAAACCTGTACAAGAGGATATTTAAATAAACTCATAAATAAAATATTTTGTGCATATGTTCTTTCAAGTGTCTTCTACTGATAATGCTGGGTTTCAGACACGTGACCCGGATGATGCGTGAAATTCAGATTAAGTGCCAGAAGGGGATTTCTCCGGTTTAAAACAAAGCAAAATTGATCACTATGAGAAGCTAATGCCCTCAATAGGCTGAAACAGATGAGGCATCCTGAAAAAATATGCGTATATTTAGGATACGATCCGTATTATCTCGGCAAAAAAAGACTTCTGTTATAATATTGAGGATTTACCCACTGTTACAGTCACTGACCTCTAGGGGCTCTCTTCTTGAGAGAGCTCTCTGTGTCTTTGTGTTTCAGCTCTACCTGGCTGCTGCAGGTGAAATGTATTGGAGCTCGTCAGCCACCCCATAAAGACCTTCATGCTGGAGATGCCAGATCCCTTATGGCTCTGGGCCTTGATCTGATGTGATCTTGTCTGGCTGTTTGTGGGAACTTAAGTGATTGTGCTATGAGCATATTGTGAGGGATATAGTGTTTAACTAAAGTTGTGTTTTTCTGTTGAATGGCCAATCTGTATTAAATACCGTAATATTATTGCCACTCAGATAGAGAAGAAGCGCGGAGACTGTTTTTACCAATCATACGGTCAATCAGGACGCAGAAGCAGCGATACCGTGAAAGATGAACCCGTTACAGCGAGGGGTCACTGTATATGAAATAATTTATAAAAAGCAACTGAGTAATTTGTAGAATGGATGCATATCTGAGTTTATCTAGGTGTATCTGGGACTTCATTCTCATGCCTGGCCTCAAAATGCCTCAACATTGAAAAGGTAGATTTATTTAAATAAGACAGTTTAGTCAAACATATGCGACATTTAACCTGCAGAACATAATATGAAAGTAAACTAAGAGTCAGTTTCAGCTGAATTTGGATTTAGATAGATCAAGTAGAAACTGACAAGAACCGGATGAAACAGCAAAAATGAAGACAAATTTATTTCCAATATAAGATCAAAATGGTCCCACACTGAGGAAACCTTTTGTTTGAAACTGCTAGATGACAATGTAAAAGATCAAGAATTTGTTTGGCAAATGCTTTTGACAGATTCGCTTCCTTATAAACACAGTTTGGCATCCAGTGTCATTTGGAAACAGTTCCTGTATTGGTCACGTGACTTGCTGAAACCAATACGCGCACCGACACGAGTGTTGGTCTATGGGGCTTGATACATGCGCCGGTGTTGCTGGACCCATCACTAGAACTTTGTATCTCTGACAGTT